ACCTTCAGTAGTTCTGCACTCATCTGGTTCTGAGCACCAGCTCGCATCTGAATAGCCTTCGATTACACCCGGATATCCAGTGTAGAATAGGCCCAGACCTGTAGTTCCTTTCAAGTATCTTATCAATCTCTGGACAGCATCCCAATGAAGCTTTCCAGGATTACTTGTGAACCTACTAAGCATTCCTACAGCGAATGCTATATCTGGCCTTGTGCAGCTCATCGCGTACATAAGACTCCCAATGATCTTTGAGTACCTCAGCTGCTCTACTGGTCTTCCGGTGTTTGGTCAAAGCTTTTTGTTGTAATCATACGGCACTGACAGTTCTGACAGGTCATAGTAGCCATACTTCCTTAGCATGCTCTCGACATAATGATATTGAGACAATCCAATACCCTTTTCAGAGTATATGATTTTGATTCTGAGAATCACATCCGCAGTTCCAAGGTCCTTCATACGGAACTGTGCTGAAAGAAATTTCTTGGTAGATATTACTATCTCCAAATCACTCCCGATGATGAGCATATCATCCACATAGAGACAGATGATCACCACCTTTCCTTCAGCGATCTTGATGTATAGGTACTTATCAGATTTACTGACTTGATACCCATTATTACGAACAACCCTATCGAACTTCTCATGCCAGAGTTTAGGTGCCTGCTTAAGTCCATATAAAGACTTAACAAGTTTACAAACCTTACCAACTGGAGCATCAAGTCCTTCTGGTTTCTCCATGTAGATCTCTTCTATGAGATCTCCATTGAGAAAGGCAATCCTCACATCCATCAGATGTATAACGAACCTTTTAATCGCCGCCCATGCGATAAACACTCTGATGGTAGTGATCCTGCAAACTGGTGCATAAATATCAAAGAAGTCTATACCTTCTTTCTGAGAAAATCCTTTCGCCACCAGTATTGCTTTATACTTTTCAATAGTACCATCAGGACGGAGCTTCTTTTTGAAGATCCACTTGCAACTGATAGGCCTTGTACCTTCAGGTACATCCACCAGCTCCCAAGTGTGATTTTGGATTAATGAATTTATCTCATCATTTATAGCTTCTTTTCACAGAAGAACGTCTGTTGATTGTATTGCTTCTTGAAAAGTCTGTGGATCTCCTTCCATATTATAGGTGATGAAGTCATCTCCAAAATCTTTCTGTCTTCTGACGTACTTGGAAGATGGTTCAATGAGGTGAGATTTGGACAACTTCTCCTCATCCTTGTACTGGTCCTCCAGAGCATTCCAGATTTCCTTTGCAGAGGACTTGTTGATGTAAGCATCTGTTAGATAATCGATCAGACGGTTAAGGAGATAACTCCTACAGAAGTGATCATCTCTAACCCAAAAGGCTTCAGCTTCAGAGTCTTCTTCAGAGTCGGGTTTTTCCTCAGAAACCACATAGTAGATTTTTAGGAGTTGCATCCCGAAGATCACTTTCCGACGCCATGCGTTAAAGTTGGATCCGTCAAAGTTTTCTAACTTAAGACAATCCACTCCAAGAGTCCTTGCAGGATCCATGATAGATCAAGATAATGCTTTAAGATTGTTGGCGCATGTGGTTAAATCTGGAATAATACAGATATAAAGCAGCAAATAACTGAAATAAAGATGAAGTACATTAATTTACATGTCTCAGCCTATTGTGCCATAATACAGAGGAGTAAGCAAAAGAGTATACTTCATTTACAACGGGGTTGGGTGCACTCATACTGATTTTATACATGCCATCAGTACGATATGCATTGCCAAAATATATTTTCTTGAAGGATAATATAGTCTTTCCTCCTTGAAAATCCAAAGTCATTCCTGCATCACACAACATGCTTCCAGAGGCTAAGTTTTTTGCAATTGAGGGAACGTGTTTCACATCCTTTAATGTGAGAGTCTTTTCCGAAGAAAGAGTCAGCACCACAGTCCCAGTTCTAAGAACAGAAACTACAAAACGATCAGCCATTGATACGTTCTCTTTGGTAGCAACATAAGAAGAGAACATATCTCTATTTGAGCATACATGACAAGTAACACCCGTATCTAACCACCAACTAGGGATGTTGCTTGGAATTGTTTCTGGAAGAGCATAGCCACACAATCATCAACTTGATTGACATTGTGTGTTGTTTCCTTCTTTGGTGCTTTGTAGTCTTTGGCAAAATATCATTGCTTTTCACAGTTGAAGCATTTACCGCTCTTCTTGAACTCCTTCTGAACGTTCAGGTTCTTCGGATTCTGGTTCTTCTTTCTGTTAAAAGACTTCTTCTTCTTGAAAGATGAATTATTACCCTTTTCAGAGTTAGCAGCCACCATGTTAGCAGGCGCCTTCTGTTTAGCAATGAGCTCAGTCTTCGTGCGAGTCCGAGTCTCGTCCTCGATCCGAATGAACCTCTTCAGATCAGACAGAGTCACCTGTCTTTTCCTTCTCCGAATGTCAGTGGAGAATATCATCCAAGATGGATGAAGCTTGTTGACAATCACACCAGAGACGAAGGTTTGACAAAGATTGATCTTTTCATCCTTCAGCTTCATAACAAGCTTTTCAAGCTCTTTGACTTGAGGCAAAACCTCAGTATCATCTTTGAACTTTAAGTCCAGAAATTTGTCAATGAGGTGAGATTTGGTCAGCTTCTCCTCATCCTTGTACTGGTCCTCCAGAGCAATCCAGATTTCCTTTGCAGAGGACTTGTTGGTGTAAGCATCTGCTAGATGATCGGTCAGACAGTTAAGGAGATAATTCATGCAGAAGTGATCATCTCTAGCCCAAGAGACTTCAGCTTCAGAGTCTTCTTTTTCAGAGTCGGGTTTTTCCTCAGAAGTGTGAAGTTTGTGCGCAAGCAAAACTGACGAGAAAACCATTTTTAAGTGTCACGAGGAACACGAACACCAACCTGTTAGATCTTATTCATTCAGATACTTGTGACTTCAAGAGCTTCGTCACTCGTGACGGCAAGAAGTACTTCATCACTTTCATCGACGATTATTCTCGCTTCTGTCATGTTTACCTGCTAAAATCTGAAGATGAAGCCTTCAGCAAATTTATCGAGTTTCGGACTCGAGTGGAGAAGCAGCTTGGACTTCAGGTGAAAAGACTCAGGAGCGACAGAGGAGGAGAGTACCGACCTAAGGAATCGGAAGCATACTTCAAGGAGCATGAAATCATTGTTGAAACTACTATTTCGTATTCTCCACAATCCAATGGGATTGCAGAAAGAAAGAATCGCACATTGACTGAGATGGTGAATTCGATGCTAATCACATCTGGTTTACCTACCTGCTATTGGGGAGAGGCTTTGCTAATGACAAACTGGATTCTGAACAGAATACCCTACTTCAAAACTGATAATACTCCTCATCAGTTGTGGTTGGGATATCCATATTCTTTGGATAATCTTAAAGTGTGGGAGTGTCTTGCATATATTCGAATTCCAGATATCAGAAGGCCTAAGTTCGGACCAAAAGCAAACATATGTGTGTTTCTTGGCTTTGCTAGAGATAGCAATGCGTGCAGGTTCCTGGACCTTGGAACCAACTCCATCATTGAAGCTCGGGATGCAGAAATCTTTGAGGATAAGTTTACCAAACATAAAGGCTTATTGCTCAAAGATGTAGCAGCGAATGCTAATATATCAAATGCAGAAGAGGAGCCAGTCAAAGCTGACAAGAAAGCCATTTTCAAGTGTCACGAGAAGCACCAACATGTTGGATCTGATTCATTCAGATACTTGTGACTTCAAGAGCTCCGTCACTCGTGGCGGCAAGAAGTACTTCATCACCTTCATCGACGATTATTCTCGCTTCTGTCATGTTTACCTGCTAAAATCTAAAGATGAAGCCTTCAGCAAATTTGTCGAGTTTCGGACTCGAGTGGAGAAGCAGTTTGGACTTCAGGTGAAAAGACTCAGGAGCGACAGATGAGGAGAGTACCGATCTAAGGAATCGGAAACATACTTCAAGGGGCATGGAATCATTGCTAATATATGTTCGAATTCCAGATATCAGAAGGCCTAAGCTCGGACCAAAGACAAACATATGTGTGTTTCTTGGCTTTGCTGGAGATAGCAATGCGTGCAGGTTCCTGGACCTTGGAACCAACTACATCATTGAAGCTTGGGATGCAGAAATCTTTAAGGATAAGTTTATCAAACATAAAGACGTATTGCTCAAAAATGTAGCAGAGAATGCTAATATATCAAATGCACAAGAGGAATTTTGTCTTGACCGAAAGATCTGATAGATCGAGGAGATCTTTTATCTGATAGATCGAGGAGATCTTTTGTCTGATAGATCGAGAAGATCTTTGCCTAATAGACCGAGGAGATCTTTGCCTGATAGATCGAGGAGATATTTGCCTTATAGATCAAGGAGATCTTGACAGTACTGGATCGGTGCACACCAGAGTACTGGACTACTGTTCCTGGAAGCAATTTAGCCTTGGGATCCTTGCACCGGAGTAGGCCGAATAATGCTTTAAGCACAGCGTTTTATAAACGCACAGCAGCTGAGTTGGAAATTTTTAAATTAATATACTTCAGCTTTCTTTCAGTTATTTGCTGCTTTATATCTGTATTATTCCAGATTTAACCACATGCGCCAACATCTTTGTATTGAAACTCATCGCAAAACTCCAAAATTCTGGTGACGGTCCAGGGTTATTATTTTATACACCGACATCTTCCTATTTTGAAAGTTGAACGATTCTTCGTACTTGACTAAGCTAACTGAATAGTATCTTAATTTCATTCCTACTAGTGTCTTGTTTTATCATGTCATCAACAAATCTTGCAGTTCTATGTGGGATTGTAATTCTAGGGAAAACTATAGCAAAAAATAATCTTTGATTGCCACTTCCAGCAAAAAAGCAAATTTCGGAAACAAAAGAATGTGATTAAAAAATAGCTTTGATTTCCTCTTGTTTTCCCAGTTAAGTAAATTTTCAAACTTCGCCAAAAAAAAGATTAATGAGCATACAAAAAGATTGCTAAAAAAAAATTGCAAACCTTGGATTGCTCTCTACATTCCTCACTGCAGAAATAGCAAGAACTGCCAGCGGTCCCGTCACCTCCTGGTAACGCCTCACTCCCCAGCCACCGCAAGCAACCATAGCAAACCTATAAATTCTTCATTTTTAACTTTTTTTTTACTCGAGAATTTTCACATATAAAGAGAAGAATTTTATTATTAAAAAAAACTCACTTTCTTTGAAAGGAGGTGGTTGGGGTGGGTGACGAGGGGCGTTTGGCGGCTGTGGATAAGCTCACGCGGCGATCGCTACGGGTGGCAACACTCCCCTCCTGCTGAGGAATCGCGTGAGCCCGACGCGGATCGGCGGAGGACCCGATCCGCGGTCTGGTGCTCCGCGGAGTGGGGGAAAGTTGTTGGCAGGAGATGAGCGTACAGGGCGGAGCACCAGAACCGTGCGGGTGCGTGACGCGGCGCGGGCGCTGGAGAGCATACCGGTGGATTTTGGGTCGGGTTTTGGGTGAGATTTCGTTTTAGTTCTTTTTATTTATTTATTTGTTTTAGGATACAAACTACAAAGCCAACATCTAAAAACTTGCTTTCTTGAAAGATAGCCCCTTTAAATTAGGCCCAGTAATGGCCCAATCCTTATCACTTTGCAGGCTGAAGGGTTCAGCGACGCCCACACTTTATGGGGCTTCACAGCCCCAACCACTCCCCAAACACCGCACCCTTCCAAAAACAAAAAACAAAAAACAAAAAACAAAGACAAAAAACATGATACTTTTTGCCCCTGATGAAACGTTACGAATGGTTATCGATTTCTCAGTGCATTAAGAAAGGTACTCAATACTCAGAATAAAAATGGTATCCCTACTTTGCTTTTTTTTTTAAAAATTAAAAAATGGTTATTCCTACAATAAGATGTCATTCCAAGAAATGTGAGATCAATTACCAAACACACTAAGTACTTAATTAACATCTCTCTAAAAAAATTAAGAGCTGTTTGGTTGGATGAAATGAAGTTGCGAGAGTAAATAAAGCAACGAGATTTATAAATATATTATTTGATTTGCAAACTTTGTTATTGAGAAATGTACATGAACTTGCAATTTGCAAATAAATTTACATCAAATGTTACGGCCAATTTAGTGGAAGGAGAAGTTGCATACTTTAAAAAGAAAATTAAAAGATAAAAATAATTACACCTCATCCAAAAAATCTTTTTAAATCCAAATAAAAATAACCATTTACACACAGGTTTTCTTTTATGACAAAAGTATGCAACTTTTGCATTTTTTTTTCCCCAACAAAACACTACATTTGCATTTGAAATACATTTTCTACAATATAATTGTAAATATCCAAGTAAAAAAGTTTGGAGTTGATTTCTAGCAATAAGTGTTGCATGCAAACATTTACTACTACAACATTTGCTGCTATTTCTGTTTACAGGAAACCAAACAAATGAACCTGGTAAGTGATGAATAAATTGTTCAAAATTATATAATTTGAGAAGACGACCACGATAGCCACCACCGCCCCTAAAAAAACAAATAAAGAAAATATAACCGATTTTTCCCACTGATATTACGCATTTAACATGAGAGTTTAAAATGTGCTATAGCTTCAAATAATAAGCAATTACCAAATCCAATAAGCTCAAAATATGTGTTGGCCCATAAAAGGCTAAATATGGGCTAAAGGACAAAGCAGATATGCTAATGATGATCTAGGCTTTAACAATTTGCAAGACCCATGATATTCTATATTAATAAGACATCAGAAAGTGTTCTTCAAGTTAAGTTCTTCCTTGAAAGTTAAAATTCAATATATGTGGAAATCACAGTTTTAACATTTTAATAGTGACTTTGATCCAACTAACACAAGTCTCCATGATTCAAGTCTAATCCACCTTTAATTATGTTATTTCTTGATGGCACCTCACCTCTATCATTATCGTGTGACAAGGAAAGAAAACACCCAACTTGTTTTTACCTTCATCTGAAAGTCATTTTGGTTTTAGATGAATATTTCAAGTAACTTTTCTTCTATATGGACAATGATCTCTACTGTACTTACTCCGGTTGCTCAAGTACTCTTAAATTAAGTTTGTTGTTAAAATACTAATTATTAAGATATTTCAAAAGGCGTAATTGTGACGCCCCTGGGTTCACACAAGGCTACAGTCCAAGGTAAAACCAAGAATGTCAAACCTATCATGCACCAAACCGTATAATAACATGTTTCACCATCATAATTACTATCTCTCTAGTAGAGTCAATAAAAGGTGTAGGTACAAAAGCAAATAGAAGATAATATAGAAATCAACAGATGAAATAATAGAGATCAAATTAATATTCCATCATCTAACATACTGAAGTACAAGTCAATATCTGAAATAAATAAACTGAAGTACTCAACAAGTCTCAAATACAAAAAATATCTGACAAGGGGAAATAAGGCACACAGCCTTTACAACTTCTAGAATAAAACTCTCAAATGTCTAAACAAAAGTCTACAGTAGAGCTCAAAAGAAAAATATAACTAAATAGACAGGTGAAGCTAAAATGCATCGCCATCAACCTGCGACTCTCCGGGCTCCTGGCTCGTTACCTGCAAGGGGGAGGGACAACGAGCGTCAAAGCGCTAGCGAGCAACATCACAACCAACCCCAAGGAAAAAGGGCTCGTTGTACACAGAAAATACAGTTAACACATAATAATATAAAATCATTTATCCTAACAATAATGGGTTTTAGTACTTAGGAAATTACAACACGAACATAGGTACGTCGAGCGAAATAATCCAAATAAGGAAACTCTCATGTATATACCTTGTATCTCAAATTGTAAGTCCCTAAGTACCAAACCCGGAGTCTAATACATGAATAATAAAGAAAAGAAAACGAACCCATCTCTATCAATAAACATAGTCATGTCAAAGCCACAATAAGTGTTACGTCCAACCTAGGTAGCTATCATGTCCCAACTTCATAAATATGTCATGCTCCAAACTCGGTTATGTATCATGCTCAAGGTTTAGCAAATGTCCAACACATGGACTAAATGATATGCATGTCCAACACATGGACTAAAATGATAAGTGTCCAACACATGGACTAATAGTAATGTATGTCCAACACATGGACTATAAGTAAAGAGGTGCAACTGTCAAAGGTATATGCGGAAAGATATACATATCCTAAACTCGCACGCGTCTCGATGTACAGGTCTAAACTTGTGTCAAAAGTCAACTCACATGTACAGATAAATCACTAACATTGTAAACTAGTGTCAAATAATCGAGACGACCCCGAAAAGCAACTCAAACAGATCAAGAATCTGTAAAACACATCATCAGTCGATTCATGTGTCGACTGATGCAATCAGTCAACTCATTGGTCGACTGATAAGATCAGGCGGAACAGCCTCAGCTCACCAGTCGACTGATCGGTCGACTGAGGAACTGAGAAAACAAAATTAGCCCGTCAGTCGTCAGTCGACTGATCAGTCGACTGATAGCTGGAAAAATTCAGCCCGTCGGTCGACTGATCAGTCGACCGAACTGATGCAGAACCTGTTTGTGCATTTGATTATTTGCAATACTATTTATCTAAAATCATCATCATAAATCCCAAGCATAAAGATACTGATTTTAACACATATGTACTAAACTAAAACGAAATTTCACATGTAAATACATAAACAAAACCCTAAACATATGCATTCATGCTTTAAAAACGTTTTGAAAACAAAACTCGTGTTTAATCTCTCATTAAAACATTTCAGATCTAGATCTTTGATTCACAAAACGTTGGTGAGTTTTTTAACATTCTGAAATAACATATCTTCACATTATATGCTATAAAAATCAAGTCTTTGTTCACAAAAATACGTTTTTGGCTCATCAAAACTCATAAAAAATCATTTGAAAACGTTTAGAAATATGGGACAAGGTTGGGCGAGATGTTACTCGCCTCAGGGGTGATGAAAAGCTATTGGATCTGCGAGAGAGTGGTTTCTTTCGCTGCAAAGTGAAAATCTCGACGAAAATCCTCCGAGTTCTCCCCAAAATCACCAAGAACGAACCTAGGGTTTGAGAGAGGAAAGAGGGGGCTAGGGTTTCTCAGATATGATGATGAGAGGGAGTGTTTTTGGGTAGGGGAGATCATATATGAACAGCCAGACCCGACCAAAAACCCGAACCAATAAAAATAGACCCGAAACATGGAAAAACTGGAAAACAGCTCGTCAGTCGACTGATTGGTCGACTGAACTCGTCAGTCGACTGATCGGTCGACTGATCTGGCAATTTCCTGTTTCGTGCATGTTTTGCTTATTTGCAAAACCAACGCACAAAACTCTATATACATACCCTCATATCATCTCAAATAACTTGTTATCATGTCCATCTATGATCTCAAGCTATTTATCACAATAATTCACATATATACATTACAAAAAAAATACGGGGTTTTACAGTAATATTCATATTTGTTGATTATATCACTACTGAAATATCATAGTTTATGACAAAAATAGCACACAAACTTCTCCTTAAATTTTTAATCTCTAAGATTTTCGAAAACAATAAGAAGAATACATCTTGTTTAACCATTATTTATTAGCTAATAAAAACAAGTAAACATCTCTATCTCCAAATTACTCCCCACCTATCGTATCACCAACTATATATGTATTCTTTTACTAGGTTACTAGCAATAAAATATTGTTATTTGTATCCATCGTAGGTGATTCGTATGTTTCAATATGGCTCACGAGATATTGGATTCAATTCTAAACTGGGTCATTAAAAAAATATTCTTATTTGTTTTCCACCAAATTCTTTAAACCTATCTCTAGTTCTTGTTCACTTATCATTACAATGGAGTGACATAACTCTACACATTGTTGTATCTCCTTCTACCACCAGCATATAAAGTTCCATTTACATTCATGTACAATTTATAGGTCCACCGGGTCAAAGTTTCGTATCTAATCTAAATTCACACCCAGCTTGCATGTTAGGTTTGAGTTTTGGATTGTACAAATTCGCTTCACACAAGCTGGGATCAGTTTGGCAGCTCCTCATGAGGTAAAACAAAATAGAACCATTTTTTAAGGCCGAAATTCGAAGTAACAAGAACTATCCCACACAGCGGCCTAGCCAGAGCTAGCTTGTCCTGGGCAGCTGCCCAGGGCAAGAAATTCCGCCTCTCCCTCCCCTCTCCTCCTCTCCTCCCCTCGCTTCCTCTCCTCTCCCGCCACTTCACCTCCCTCTCCCACAGATCCAACCTCCTCTCCCTCGTCTTTCAGGACCTCCATCTCTACAATCCCCAGCCCTCATCCCTCTCCCGCGCCTCCTTTCTCTCCTCACGACATACTCGTAGACCACATTTATTTTTCGCTCAGGGCAAAAAATAATCTTGTCTACGCCACTGATCCCACGACCGAAATTAAGCTAGGTTCAAGTCCCAACTCAGTTTTGTTCCACCAAACCGGTTTAACGAGGAGTTGTCGCCAAACATGTCCCATAATTCAAACCCGCTTGGGACTAATTACGGCTTCGTTTGGATACCATAGTGTTTTCCTTGTTGTGTTTTCGTAAAAAAACATCATGGTGTTGTGTTTTCTCTTAAAATGTTTTCAAAACACCATGTTAAGTATTTTTTATCAACACTAGTTTGACCCATTATAACATTAGTATTAAATATATTATTAATATATTATATATTAATTATAATAAAATATATTGTAAATAAAACGTTTTAATATTTAGTTTACATTATTATAGTATTATAAGTATTAAATGTAATGCAATATAATATTGTATAATATATTATAATATTATATTGTACTTTAATGAGTTATATTATATTATAATTATTACATATTATTTTCAAATAATTATATATTTAATTATTTTGGTATATCAAATTGTTATTGTTGTATATTATATTAATATTTTTATAATAATGTTATTTTATTATTAATATAATATTATACTATTATTAATATAATATAATATTATACTATTATTCATATAATATAATATTATTAATAATGTTAATATTATGTTATTACTAGTATGTTATTAATAAATTAATATATTATAAATATTTTAATATTATATAATATATTATAGTTTTTAATATGTTAGAGTTTATTAATTATTATATCATTATTATATTATTATTTATTATCAATAACTTTTTATTGTATTTATTAGTTTATTTATTTATTTATATTTTACTATTATTTATTTATTATATAATACTTTATTAACATATTCAATATTGGTATTTAATATGTTATTATATTATTATATAAGATATTTTATTTATTATATTTTTATATATTTAATAAATATTACTAATATATTAAATTAACTATAGTATAGTATAATATAATAAGGATGTTGATAATAACTCTATATTAATTACATTTAATATATTATATTAGATATTATATTAACACGTTCTCAAACTCAAAACCAAAACACCAAACTTAAAACACCTAAAATGTGTTTTGAAATAAGTATTGTGTTTTTTGTTTGATGATGGTTTAGCTCAAAAAATATCATGGTTTTCAAACGCATGGTGTTTTGTTTTTGACAAAAACACCATGGAAACAAGTAAAACACCATGGTATCCAAACGGAACCGTACACATTTGGATAAGGATTCTGCAATGTATATTAGACTAGAAGAAATATTAATTTTTACTGTTTTCTTTTTTTACACCTAAAAGTATCCATATCAACTACCATCTCTCCCACATTCTACAGTCAAATTCAAATCTTTCCCTTCGCCACAAAGCACTCTGTCCCCTACTCAATTTACCAACTCCGAGTGGCCACGTTTTAACCCCCAAGGCCGAGGGTCAAGACGCAGACCCCTGGCCCGACCCACTCACTGGGCCTTT